GAGTAAGTTCAGTAATTATTATAAGTAATTTATAAGAATTTCATCAATTAAGAGATGTGGCATGCATTAACAAAATTAACAAAGTCCATATCTACGAGTACGAACGTACATGTTCACATATAATTCAATGAAATACCCTTCAATATGAGAATGTAAAAAATTAGAGTAGAATATGTTGTTGAAGATGTTCAGAACTCGGGAATGTTAGTAGAAATTGGGAATATACAGAAACGAATGGCCCTGTGAACTATCGAAAAAGATTTGGGAGAATGCCGAAGAAGATTGAAGGAATATTTTCATGTAGAAAGTAAAGATCTGTGTCGAATAACTTTCTTAATGAAGTTATTCTATTACAGTTCATATTAAACAACAAAAATTCACGATTCTAGGGCCCACCCTTCATGAAATTGATGAAAAACTTTCTCTCAAACAATTTCATATTTTGGAAGTTTCAAGTTATTTAGAGAGCGCATTAAGATGTTCTGAAACTATGTTGTTGCGCAATATTCACATCAAAACTAGTCGAGTGAATTGAGGAAGTGAACGCAGAAATTTCCACCAGTATCATTGCATTTAGTGTGATTTTCAAAATATTTCAGTCCAATAAATTTCTATTTTCCTCTTAGAATTCCGGAACAATTAATATGCATAGACTTCGAAAAAAGCATTTCAAATTCCTTTCACAAATTCCAATGGATGCCAACCATTCACCCAACCTAATAAGGACGTGCGTTTTACGTCTCCCATTAAGGATTCAGGAAGGATGAGCGTTAGTGCATTGCTCAATTTTGCAAATGCATTCGTGTTTAATTGAGTTCACGAGTAGCAATCCAAATAGTTTCCTAACACGTTCTCAAATGTTTCAAACTCATATTGAAAACCGATCCGGTCTTTGTGCCGATTGAATCCGGCTCCTGTTTTCAGCCATATTGCATTCAAATGGTGCTTTTGTGGAGGAGATTGGGTGCAAGTATATACGTGAGAGGGTCGTGAATATTTTCCTGAACTACGCTAAAACCACTGAAATCTCGATTGTGACCATGATAATGCACATGTTGAGGTCAAATGAAATTATTGAAAAATTCATTTTCGATATATATTATTGATATCATTAATATAAATGAGACTTCCATTCATTTTTAATACATAAAGGATTTATCATTATAGAAGAGGATTACAAAAGGAATGAGAAAACAAACAGAGGCTCAGTAGCCCGATGATATAGTGACCCTTTAACGCTTCCGTTCTACTGATGCTGGTGGGTTCGATTCCCACCGTCTTCTTGGGCCGTTCGAAACTGGCGTTAAACTGTACTTTCAACTTCCACATAAGTATAGTGTGCTTATGAAAGGAAATTATCATTCTCTAGAATGCTTCAAAATGAAAATCAAATGGTTCATTTCGGTTCACAGTAAAAGTGATTGCTTTCAGGACTACGTTGCCCATAACTTCATAATATTCACTTCGAATTATTGGAAGATTATTCTTTGATTACGTTCAGAAAATGGATTAATCTGATAAAAAGAAGTCATTAAAGTCCCTAGATAGAATTTTAGGTACTAATGAGTGGAAACTCGAATAGTTCCTCTAGAGTCTAGAGTTATAAACTATGCAGAAAAATGAGTCATATAAATACATGGTGGGCATTATGATGTTCGAAACATTGGATCTAAATGCTGAAAGTACTCGCTGACTCGATAGTGGAAGTGAAACCTCAAGAGATATTTCTTTATTTTCACTCTGAGTTTATCGTTGCTAACCTTGAATTTCTCGTTGGAATATATCAGTAGCGTTTCATATTAATTCTAATGACAACAAATTAAATTCAAACACTTGAACTTATGATTTACACTTTATTGACTTCATAGCATGGCGCGTTTCGTCGATACAAACGACTTCTTCAGATGCTTACGGAATAATGATCATATAGAACTTACTTACTTGATGATCATACAGATCTTACAGAATAATGATTCAATAAAGTGTGCATCATAAGTTTATAACCCCCGTTTTCCCTTAAAATTACCCAGGCTAGCCAATAACGAGGGGTCACACATTCGTTCTGATTGATACTCGGTAATAACAAAGTTAAAATGTATGAATTTACTAAACTTCTTGCATTTACAATAAAATAAACTATCTTATCTACATAACTTCACAGACGATAGATTCCCAAGTTGTCCTTTAATATTAATTGGTTAAAACTCCAGCGAATTGTTTATAACGCTCCAATAACAGTGATTTTGGGGCTCTAGCCAATATTGGAGTATAGCTCCAGTAAACGTAGTTTGATAGCTCCACCGGAGGTAGTTTTACAGTTCTAGCAGAGGTTGAATTACAGTTCTAACGAACGAGACTTTCAGCTCCATCGGAGGGGACTAAAAACATTTAGGCAAATCAACATCCTATTTTAGATTGAAGTTATTCCAAGGATTTCTGTAGGATCTCGATGGCACAATCACATTTACAAATGGTGTGATATACTTTGAATATACTAAGAAATAAATAAGTGTTCTAACATTAAATAAGAACATGAGATACGAACACGTGGAATTAGCCATCGTTAACCCACAAAAATCTTGAGCCAATTTGAAAAATTAAATGAGTAGAAAAATCGAGAATAATTTAAATTAGAGAATGAAATAACGATTACTGCACTATTGAAAGATAAACAATTTGAAAAAATATCAAAAAAAAAAAAATAATGAAAATGGCGAAATCAATAAAATGAAAAATTCAACTCAGGTTTTCCAGACAATATATTTATACGAAAAATAGAATTTCTTTCCATAACTTACCGTCAGTTTAGACGCCACAGATAATTAATTAAACCACTTGGTTAAATAATTAATATAAGAATATAATCAAAGTAATTATAATCTCCAAAAATCTTATGTTTAAGATTACGATGTTACTTCTTAGATGGATAATTAACGAAAAAGAAACGTACAACGAGAATTCTGCCCACTATATCTGCATTTTAGATGTACGCATGTTATCGCGATCGAGTCCAGCGACGAAGAACATAAAAAGTAAATCAAAAATTCAGTGGCGGCGGTAGTGTGGGGAATTCACACGTTACAAGTTCAAGTGTTTGAATTAAGTTTATACTGAATTATAATGGATTTACATCAAGTAAACGCCAACACTATTAAATAAATTAAAAAAAAATAAATAAAAATTAACACACTTCGCTTAAGTATCACTAAATATAATAAATACTCTACATATGTTTCGGTTTACCCATTATCACGAGTATACAATGTTGCTGAATTCCAAAACGTACAGCACCCACTTATATATCCTAAACCACAGAATTTAACACCGGCTTCACGAAAAAATCCACCTGCTCATTGCAACCGGTTTCAAAAAACAAATTCGATTTGTATTCGATCAAATGTTTTAATTAATTATTGATATTTCCCAAGATTAATTGCGTAAATTCCATTCTAAATCTATCTTGAAAATAAATTATCTCAATAGTTAATTCAGCATTTCTGATTCAATTGACATAATGTAATATACGCGCATTCTTCATTATCATCCTATGCATCGGAAATTTATTTGTGTAAAATGTAGTTACTACAAATGATACAAAAGCGTATAATTGATAATAAACAGATGAAATTCATCGATCGTGTTGTTTGCTTGAATTTATAACGGAATATATAATAATTTCTCATTTTCAACCGTCAGTATGAAAATCACTCTCGAAATTCATATACTGAATATTGTCTTCGTAATTAATTGAAAACAGACAACCGATTATCACGAGTATTGGAATATTTTCAGAATACTATCAGCAGAAGGGATATTTCATATCACATTAATCATATTTATGTTTCAGGATTAACATTTCAGTACATTTTTCTAATCACCGAAAATATTTCGTGCATTATTATCAATAAATATATATACCTATATATATATATATATATATATATATATATATATATATATATATATATATATATATAATGAATATAATAACGCAGTAATCTGCGTATTTTTTCTTATAAATAAGGAAAATAAAATATATTTGGGTTTTTGGGTAACAGTTACATAGGTATCTGAAAATTAACTTGTAATTGCAATATAATAATATTTGATTGAAGTCTGTTTTTGAGCAGTTTGTAGTGTTGGTTTGAAAACATTTTCTTGTATGTTTCGAAAAGCAAAAATATCTGTAGCAGATACGACATTTCATTCAAAACACATTTTGCGGTTTCTGGTCATATTTGTGGTGTTCAAAAAACTAGATGCTATATCTGGTTTTACTTCTATAGTTGCATGAGTTTCTGGCTGAAATATTCTCACAAGATTCTTTTCTTTCAGTTCTTCACATATTTCTGTATGCAACATATTGCGTTGTGTCTCCTCAAACCAAAAAATTGAATTTGCCAAAAATAGGGGTCCGGATTATTGAACGTGTTTTATTGGTCTATTGAAATGTCGGATTAGTGAGATTCTATGCATATTATATATATTTATATATATATATATATATATATATATATATATATATATATATATATATATATATATATATATATATATATATATATATATATATATATATATGTATATATGTATACATATATGTATCATTATTTTTATAGTGAAAATTGCGAATTGAAATTACATTTCAAAAGTTTTCGAACTCGACTTGGATTCGAACACAGGTCTTCAGGTTCACGCCCAACTGTTTTTGACCGCTAAGCTACCAAGGTCTACACTTTGAGATGCAACTTCAATTCATATCTAACAACTCTTTTATTCGTCAAGCTAGTTATTCGACGCTCGGATTGTCGTCTTCGAAAGTGCAGGCGGAAGTGCGTGAACACATACCCATCCTCCCAGATATATTATTATTTCCTTAAGGAACAATGATAATCATATACAGTAATTTTTGTGTGATAAGTAACCACGTGTGGACATGAACAATGTGTTATTATATTCATAGTGAAAATTGAAAATTGAAATTACATTTCAAAAGTTTTTGAACTCGACTGGGATTCGTACCCAGGTCTTGGGTTTATGCCCCACTGCTTTTGACCGCTAAGCTACCGAGGTCTACACTTTGTGTAGACTACAACTTCAATTCATATCTAGCAACTCTTTGATTCCTCAAGCTAGTTAGTCGAAGCTCGAATTGTCGTCTTCGAAACTTCGAAGGAACAATGGTAAATATAGTTCAGTAATTTTTCGTGTTGACCAACCAGGTGCGGACATGAACAATGTATTAATATTTTTATAGTGAAAATTGAGAATTGAAATTACATTTCAAAAGTTTTCGAACTCGACTGGGATTCGAACCAAGGTGTTCAGGTTTACGCCCCACTGCTTTTGACCGCTAAGCTACCGAGGTCTATAAATAATTTCTACCTCTGTTTGATTATATTAATGACATTTTATCGATATATAAAATATCTGTATCAACTTGAAAGTACTTCGTTAGAAAAAGGTGAACCTATCTTATTGTTTCATGATATTAAACTCATTCTCTGAATGCCTTGGTACGCTAATGCACCCCTGGACGGCAATTGATGCAGAATCGTGACCTGTAGGGATAAAACCTGGGCTCTCTTGGCAATTTCATTTCATGGCAATATAAAGTTGGAGCTTCCTTCACGTAAGTTCGGCCTCAAGTTTTATGGAATCGAATAAACATTGATCGAAGTTTAGTGTTTACTGCATGTAAACTCAATATGTTACTGCTATGGAAATAACTAACAAATTTTCGAAACAATATGTAGTTTCAGCAAATGAGTTTCTCTCCAACTTTCCATTGAAAAATTTAGATTAAGTTTATTTTTGAAGTGATCGATTGAATCCTAAATTTCGATATAGAATATCGAGTTTCTGAAAAATTTTATATATGTAGGTACACCAACCTATGGTGACTTATGAATAGTATTTTGTTGATGTTTACTATATGAAATACTTATGCCTATATATACTTGATGCTTACTGATCAAATACTACTATATTGATGGAGAAGGTATGAGTCAAAGTTTACTGAACATGAATATCTCTACTCTCTTTCTGAACAAAAGTATGAGGAGACAAGTCTTTTTCTCTAATTGGATTCAATTCATGATTGAATTTATAATTTTTTCATTCACATTAACATTTTGAATGCAATTGAGCAATTGGCGTGAAAGTTTTGACCATAGCTCTGCATTTGTATTAGAAATCTTCTCGAAATTTTTGAAATAAGCTTTCAATCTGTCGGGCTTAAAAGGTAGGTGTACCAACTGAGGTTCACTTCAGATCAATTATCAACATTTGGAGCTAGTATAATTAACGGAACCACTTATTTTTTTCACCAAAGCGAAAATTTGCGGAATTATATAACTAGTAAAAAAACTTTCTGAAGTGATTTTCATGTTTTGTATTATAGAACATAAAAGAAGCCCATTCAAACACTTCTAGTTCTCGATTCAATTGCTATTTCTTCTGCTAATATTCCCTGCTTGTTCAACAAATTCCACCCCTCAGGTTTTGAATTCTTCTGGTCAACTTCATTTCTTTTTTATTGTAATTTTGAAAATGGGTTACGGTGGATATGAAGGTGGCAAATAGTATTTCCTTTCAATGTAAGGATCTCCGAGACGATTAATGTTGTCTGACTCTATGAACTCTACTTTTCCCTTCGATTTTCAACACAGCTTCAAGAAGGGTCTTTGTTTATGTGTGCAGAAAATACACCCACAATTTTAGGCCAGGACTTCCGAAAAACTTCTCTAAAATATTTGGGTATTGGGAGATACTCAGTGAATCGTTTTAAACTGTAGCCCATCAGTTTCTTATACTCCGTTTCCGTGGAATCTTTCAAAGCATCTACTTGAGTTTTGTAGATTAGAAGATGCAGAAGAATGAATAGAGTTTCCCTGTGATGTCTTCCAAGTCGACATGAAGACAATCAGCGGTAGTTCAGATCGCGGTGTGGACTATGTAGCTAATCGTTACATTCCATTTGTCTGCTCCGTGATTTGTTCAATATTATATTGAATTCGAGAAAAACATTTTGAGTAATCGTTCGTTCGGTGTTGCAAAAGCGGGACCATATAAACCTTGCTGAGGACAACAGAGCAGACTGACTGAAAACAGGACTGTCCTGTCCAAAGCGAAACGTATGGTCAATTTATGTATACTTCGTGTTGACTAAATCATCACTTTTTGAATCTTGAATTAGTATCAATTACTGAATGTGCTATTGTGACACATACCCCTATTTTTAGACGCATGCCCAATACTAAGTTGAGAAATAGTATAAATAGTATGAAGAAATAGTATATTTGAATTTTTCATCACAAGGAACGACAGCATTGAAGATATTTCAGAAGCAAACACAAATCAAAAAAATCTCCTGTTATATACCGCTAGGCAGAGATTTTGAATTTAATGAACTCCATAATAATGATTATGAAAGGGGTGTTTTAGTTATTGCTTCATTGCTGATAGCGAGTGGACACCTTTTTGAACTTTTTGAACGATCAGAAATTGAAGTGTCGAATAATTGTAGAGTTGAAGAATCCTGATCAATATTCTTTGTCCTCGGTGAAAGATATACTTCTCAGTACTCGATTCAGCTATTCCGGACCGTAAAATCTGGTTCGTTGAACCGTGAAAAAATTTCATGTCATGTATCGAGTCGAATTCAGAGAATACATGTTTCTGGGTAAGCCACCATTAGTTTGGTGAGCTGAATGGTGAGCCACCATTCAGTAAATCGGCATCACTGAACAGGAAAACCCAATGTTGCACTGTGTTGTAATCCTACGGTTAACATTTTGATTCCGGTTTTATCTAATTAAAAAGCATGATTGAATGTTCTCTGAACTATTGATGCAACCTTGTGTAATATATTGAATAGAATAGAAAACACTTGAATTGGTTTTACAAAGATTTTTGAATTGATTCATTGCTTGACAATTGTTTCGGAGAGTTACCCTACTTTCAAGAGCTGAACTGAACTGAAGATACCATTCAAAATTTTTAATTTTCATCCGGCCGCTGATACTTATTCAATGTAACCATTTAATCATTATTCAGAACCTTATTTGTTGAGTATTCTCAATAAATATGGCAACGAACATTTTTGAAAATTTTATTTATCATAATAGTACATCTACACAATCTCGAATAACCAACCATGAATTCGAACTCAATGAAAGATATCGAAGCACCAAAATTTAACAAATGTCCGTAAAGAGAACGGAAATCCAAGGTGTTTCATAGAGTTCGGACTGAAAGAAACGTTCTTGGAGATAGAAAAGATCTCACTACTATGGAGTTAGCCAATAAGCCCGAATAACCTGGAAAGTGCTCCGCAGATCTAAAATTCATAGATAATCGATATCTAAATTAATTCAAAATTCCCACAAGCGGAAGTGCAGCTGACGCAATGATTGAGTTCGGGAATAATAATACTTATATGCGTGGTATCTACTCTGTCGCAATTTTCGAATTCATTATATTCGCTCTTTATGCTCGCTTTGTTACTATTAATCTTATATGCTCTTCTTATATGCTCTTCTTATATGTTACATATTAAGAAATATTTCATTATGAAAGAAATATAATCAGATGATCTTTGATTTCAGATTGGTGTAACATCAAGCCAAGAGTTTGCTTTAAATTTTATTGAATCCATATTCATTGTGAAAAATAGAATTACTAAAAATAGGATTAATAAACTGTGGTTCAATGAATATGGAGTAATTCATTGAACCACAGTTCTGAACCAAATAAATTCAATCTGAGATTCATAGTGTTTCAAAAATGAAAACTCCAAATTGTAGAGGCTGCATTACGGTAAACTACTGAAAAAACGAATATTATATCCTATAGTTGATGACTGATGAGGCCGATACTTGGAGAAAATCAATATTCATAATGAATCAATATTTAGAGTTATCTCATAATTCAATGAGTTATGAGATAATACAATGAATTAATGCTGAATTAATACTGAAGCATTAATTCAGCATTTGATAATGAAGTAGTACTTCGAAATGTCGTCATAGGTATTTGTATTAAATTATCAGAAAATTCTAAATATTGTTTTATTATATTCTATAGTGGTGACTGACATAAAATATTTCACATATATACAGCCCTAAACAGAAATACGCTAGTTTTGTGGGGCAAATTTTACACTTTGATATGTGCAGACATTGTGGTAGTTCATTGTAAGTAAATCTGAAATAATATGAAATCTCCAAAAGCTAAATTATAATTTATATTCAATCAGTAGGTACTTTCGACTATCACGTAATTTCCACTTGATTCTGGCGGTATATTAGAAAGTAGTTGAACTAAAAGAATTTTATTATATTCGAGATTCATTTATTATGAAGATAACATATTTTAAATCTTTGATCCCAAATGATTATCGTTGAAAATGTTCAAATTTTTGAAATAATACCATCATTTTGAAGTCACACATTTTTCATTTGTTAAGGCTGGGAATCGTTGCTTTCAAATATAGAATACAATAGATATGTTTGTATCAATGTTTGTTTACCATAATTCTGTATATTTTGCTTATTGATAAGTAATCCCAAACAATTTCAAAATAATTTGAATAATTGATAAACATGTCTGCTTTTCTATTCTATATTTTCCCATATGGTTCAAAGTTCTTCTTTAGGAAAATTATGACAATACAGCTTCCGTTAATAAAACTAACCAGAATATCAGACTACGTTCTCACTTATACTTCCCCCTTCTTTCATCACGATAACGATTTCCGCCCCACGTTCTCGCCTGGAATCTCCTTACCGATACTTCAATCCAACAAGATTTCCTGTTAAAGATGACCCCCAAGGCGGAAGATATCCCAGCAGCACAGATTGGAATTTTTCCCGAGTTGCAGCCAGCGGTGTCTAGTCGTGAAATTTTACGAGTTGATGGGCAAATTCTGGTAAATCGGCAAAGTTAGCGACGAACCCGTGTTTGTGGCGAGCGCTTTGCATAATTCAAACAAGACAGGAAGTGGCCTTCGGATACATGCCGCACGGAGCAAGAAATCGTTGGGAAATGCACGAATGGATTTCCTTGAGGCCG